ACAGGATAGAATCGACGCGGCGGAAGACCTTGAAGAGCTAAATCAAGCTCCGACTATCAAGGAAAGGATGACCAATGATGAAATAAAACTTGAGCTTGTTGGTTTACAGGGCTCGGTGGATCCGTTGGGCCCTGGTAGCAACATTGGAATCAGGAGGATGGGTCAAGTGGATGAGAAGCCGTTTGTTGAAGCTTGCAAGCCAAAGTACGGCGCGGAGGCGGATGCTAAAGCTCTGGAATTATGCTCCATGTGGCAAGACAATCTGAGGGATGCTAACTGGCACCCTTTCAAGATAGCGACCACAGGTGAAAAGCCTTAGGTACCAACGATCAATCGAGTGATTCTTATCCTGTTGCCTTCTTGTCTTAGACACTTGCTGACAAGTACATAATGCAATGCAATGATATTGTGATGTGTCTGTGTGATGTCCCCAGCAAATCATCGACGAGGGTGACGAGAAGCTGGTGGAGTTGAAGGAGGAGCTGGGTAAAGAGGTTTACAAGGCTGTGACCACTGCGCTAGTGGAGATGAACAACAAAGAGAACATCCTCAAGCAGTGCAAGGCGAAACGTAAGGATTTTTTGTCACAAAAAACCACACACGCTTTTGTATTGACAGAAAAGACCACCTCCAAACTGTATTGACAAAAAAGACCATGTACACCGTGGCGGCAGGTCTGGCAGCCGACACGTGGCACCTGCCGGCACGGCCAGTGGCGGCCAGACCTGCCGCCACAACCTCAGGCGGCAGCTCAGCTGCAACAGGTTTTCGGCCCATCCCTATGGCGGCAGCTCCTTTTTGTTGTTGTAGTACAGTGGCGCTAATTCCTACTTTCCTATCCAAGTTTTGACCTGTTTTATTATTTACCTACTACTAGTACTGCTAGTCCTGGTCAAGCCACGTGCTACAGCCTACAGCAGAAACAAATACAGTAAATACTAGTATGTGTGTGAAAAAACTTTGCAACGAAGGAACCAACATGCTCCGAATTTGCCTCAGACTTGGGGAGCGAGAATGAAAGAGCAAGGCAGTACCGGATCGGGTGCAAGCAGCGGCGCACAAACTTGGAAGCGGCCGAGTTGCTTTTTTGACTGCTTCGCGTGGGGCCGTCGCATCGTGCTGCTGCACGGGCTGTCGCGCTGTAGGAGCTGCCCGCCACCTCTTCCTATCCTGTTGCGAGTCGCTACATCGGACGGAAATCTGTTGGAGCCGAGCTGCCGCCTCCACATGTGGCGGCAGGTGCCACGTGTTGGCTGCCAGACCTACCGCCACGACGTATGTGGTCTTTTTTGTTAATATGGTCTGCGAGTGGTCCTTTCTACCAATATGATAGCGTATGTGGTCCTTTTAAACAAAAAATCAAACGTAAGAGGTGATAGTCGTATCGTACTCAGCGCAATCAGTGGTTTTCATTTCGGGTGTGGATTAGAGAAGACTTGACAACTCTTTCCTTCTAATAATGTTGGTGAACTGCAAGACAAGTTTATGTGCTGCTCAGTCAGTCTGAGAGCAGTGATGTATGGGAACCGCTTTTATTCCGTTCGGAGTTGGGAGACAATGGTCGCAATGAATCGTGGTTTCTTCGTTATCATTCGTTCCTTTTTCCGCAATGGATCGCCTTATCGTCTTTTCTGAGTGTGTTTTTTCAGGCAATTTTTTTTTGCGAGGGTGAACTCGACCACTTGTGTGCTCAAAAGTCACGTGTTTTCGATGTTTTTGCATGTCCATGTGGGAGTTTATTTGGCACCTGTGGTTTTTGTATTGCCATCACACGACCATATAATCGCACTTGTCTGATATTTAAAGTAAATTTCATTTCACCAAAAGCATTTCCACGGCACCCCGGCGCTGATGTTCTTGAGAGGCTTCGACAAATGGAGATTGGACTTGGCACACTCCTGTACTTGCACGATTGGCTCACGGTCGCCCCCACGTTCCTCCCGTGGTTGCACCCGACGCCCCTATATGTACTTTGTGATGACACACTAAACAGTCAATCCACTTCCGCACTTCCACGATCGCCATGACGAACCAGGCGAACAACCAACCCTTCTCATCTCCGGCGGCCAGCCAACACCTCCTTCTCCGCCCGCCGCCCAGCCAACTCTCACACCATTCCCTCCTCCCTCTCCTTTAGTGATACGATCACCGACACTACCCCGTTCATCCCCATATCTCCATAGCCACAACTACTATTATTGGCGGCACCTCTTCGAGATCCATCTTGGCCGCTGCTCCCTCCTACATCACATCACCGGCGACACACCACCAGCGGCACACAATCCTCGATGGCTCAAGGATGATCTCGCCATCATTCAGTGAATGTACACAGTACACCCGTATCTCCACCGAGCTGTTCGACCTTGTGGTGACCGATGGCGCCTCCGCTCACGATATTTGGCTCGAACTCCGCCGGCTGTGCCAGGACAACCGCGACGCTCGCGTCTCCATCCTCAACACGGAGCTCGGCCCTCGCCTCCTCCTGACGTCGGTTGCCTCGCGGTGGTACGCTGGCTGGTGCGGCAAGATGATCAATATCAGGGGCCGCCCTGGCAGACGCGCTGTGGAGGCCATGGTAGAGGACAAGTGCGACATCGACAAGGGCTGCTGCGACACCGAGGTCAGGACGTTGGCCGCCGTGTGGAAGGCCCTCGGGATCAACGCCGACGTCCACCAGGCAGCCGTCACCTGGTCGGGTCTCAACCGAAACACGCATGTCAAATTGAGTCATCTCTTGCTTTGGACTTCATTCAGAGCCTTCAGTGTCAGTGCCGTTACTACGTGCTTACCGACCTTCGCGGCTGAGTAGTAAGTAGTACACGCATGATCTGGGCGGGATAATCTACTTACATGTAAGTGTCAGTCAGTGCAGAGTAAATTGCACAAAACCACCAGTTTAAAGGTTAGATTTATAAAAAACACTATAATACATTTTTTTTTGCAGAAAACATCATGTCTGCGGTAATGTTTTTGCAAAAAACACTGATCGGCGGATTTGGCTCTGTTAACTGGGGTTATGACAGATGGGACCCATTTTTTACCTACATGGCATAAATTTTACACATGCACCCCTCTCTTCTTCTCCATCTCTCTCCCCTCTCTGTAAAAATTAAACCGCCGCCGCCTGCCGCCCGCACTCCCTGCCGCCCACCACCGCGGCCCGGGATCCCGCCGCGCCACCACAGGTTCACCGGCTCCACCGTCGCGCCCCACACCGGATCCGGCGACATCCGCTTCCACCTCCGCACCCCACAGCAGATCCGGTGACATCCAATTCGACCTGCAGCCAGAGCGCAAGGCGCACCCGGAGCCTCGACCTGCACCCGGACCCTCAACCCGCAGCCGGAGTGCAAGGCGCAACCCTGCAGCCGGTGCCCAAGGCCCTTCGACGGCGGCGGCACCAGCCATACCTGGTTCCCTAGCCGCCAGCGTGGCCCTTCGCGGGCGCCCCGACGACGGCAACAACACCTCGACGTGCCCCATGACGGCACCTTTGACCACGTCGTTGTCGTGCTGTTGCAGTACCCCCGGCTGCCCACACGGCCCTTCGGCGGGCGCCCCGACTACGGCGACAGCGGGGCGACGTGCACATGCTGGAGCTCATCCTGGTCGCCCCAAGATCCAAATCGGGCTCGCCCCAATCCATCCAAATCGAGCTCGCCCCAGCACCAAGCCGCCCCAACCTCCATGGGCGCCGCCCCAGCCAGCGACGAGAGCCCATGGCCGCTGTGCTACTGGTTTTATGCACGTGGGGGGCTGATTGTGATTTTGCATTTTGATTCATGGGTGTATACATAAATTTCTAGGGACTACTTTGTGAATTTAGATTAAAACCCATTGGCACGAAATGTGATGCCACGTAAGCAAAAAACGTGACCCACCTGTCATAAACGTGCTCAAACGAGCCTAATCCGCCGATCAGTGTTATTTGCAAAAAGATTACCGTAGACATGATGTTTTCTGCAAAAAAAAAAAATTATAGTGTTTTTCGCAAACCTAACCTTCAAACTGGTGGTTTCGTGCAATTTACTCGTCAGTGCAGGACGATCTCAGTTTGCTGTTCTCCACGAGATCATGAGCAATGCATACCCAGCAATATACTTCAGCATCATCATCCCATAAATTTTTGACTTTATCAGATTCTTAATGCCGCCTAAATGATTCCACTTTTAGCTTAGCAGCCATCGCCGGTAGCGTTCCGGTGTTTCACCAATCACCATCTCCTGAAATTTAATCGAGCAGTAATGTACGCTCATAATATGACTCGTTAACAAAACAAATTCAACATCACACCCTACCCCAACCCACCAGGGTTCAAATCCTGATGCTCGCATTATTCCTGAATTTATTTCAGGATTTCTGGCGATGTGCTTTTAGTGGGAGGAGACGTTCCCATCGACGACGAGGCGCCTAGGGCGACTTCGTAAATCTGAAGATGATATGCCGGCTCAGTCTCTCGGAGGTGCTCATAGGGGTAGGGTGTGCGTGTGTGCGTTCATAGGGGTGAGTTGCGTTCATAGGGGTGAGTGTATGCGCGTGTATATGAGCGTTTGTGTCTGTACTGATGCTCAAAAAAAAAGCAAGCAAAATCAGGTTTAAATCACTTGATTTTGACGAGTATATATAGCCAGAGCTAAATCACCAAGTTTGATGACTTCGCGAAATTACTGTTTCTTTTCAGATAAAAAAATCTCTACCACCTATTGGGAAGAAAATGTTCTCCACCATTCAAGTTCACATCCAATCATTAAATCACAGCACAGACACAGGAACAGCAGCACCAGTAAAGTATAGAGGACCGGGAGAGGCCCAGCAGCGCATAATTATTCTCCCTCCACAGTTTGGCTCAACACGGCCCAATAGTTGGGCCCGAACAGAAGAGAAGCAATCCTTCCCTCGGAAACAACCAGTTTTTTCTCGTTATTTCTGGGACTCTGGCACCGGCGGACAACTAAGTACAGAACAAATATGAGGAGCATTGACAGTTTGGTTTGCTTATATTATAATCTCTTCAAACTCTTCTTCCTCGCATCCATCTTCTTCTTATCGACGGGGACTTTCACGGCCAGTGGCCCGTCCTTCCTGGGCGCTGCCGGTGCTCCACCTGAGACAGCAGAAGGGGCAGCGTTCCGATCCTGTGAATTTGGGCCAAATGCTTTTGTGCCGGTAGAGGTCGATATTGGTGCAAGAACAGTATGAGGCTGGCCCTTATTCAGAGCTGTCATTGACTCAGAGATAGCTCCACTCTTGGACTTATTCTTGGGTCTGAGAGCATGGATACTGGTATATAGCCTGCATATGGAGCACAATGGCGGGATCAGTAACTAGCTACAGCCGCGCCAGATGTTTCGGTAAGAGGTCTGGTCTAACTTGCCACAGACAGTAGCAGTAGGTGGCAATCTAGGTGTTCCCATTGTTTTGAATACAAAACCCTAGCTCAATTTTAACCAATAAATAAGAAAAGACGTGAAGCACCGCATCACACCATGCTGACAAAATGAAGTTGAAGATTACTGACCTGGCATGCCGTGCATACTCCTCATAGTTCTCAAGCAGCAACTTCCCAGCTTGTTCATTCAGGGCAGATTCAGGAAATGGCTCAATCAGGAGGCATCTCACTACCTGTCAGCAAGCAATTTATAGTAAGTCCACCACATCCTATGCAGGCAGTTCAAACTTCTTCCATAACCAAATACTAGAAAATGCTTACAAAACAAATCATGCACTACAACAACATGGGTTGTTGTGTGTTGAACTTCAAGCTTACCAGCAGAACATGCCTTAATCCAAGGCTAGGATTCCAATCCTTCTTCAATGTGTTAACACATATCTCACCACTAGTTGCAATATTTGGATGGAAAATTTTAGTCGTGAAAAACCCTGCAGAAACAAGACCAACAGACTTTCAACTAAAGCTCTACTTCAGGAACTAAACTAAAGTATGGACGACAAAGGAAGTCTGACAAAATGTCTACCTTTTGGAGGTGACTGAGGGAAGTCACGAGATAATATTAGCTTCATCCGGAATATTCCATTCTCATATGGGGTTCCAGCTGTACATGCCCAGGTTCAGATTAAAAATGCAATATCAGAAAGTAGTGTAATAGGAAAGAAACGCAGCTTTGAGATTTCTTTAATTTACAAAGCCAGAAGCCGCAAGCTCCAACTTGACTAGTGATGAATAAAAATGTGACGGAAAGACAAGAATAGAAAAGGGCACCATCATGCAAGTAGCAGAGCATTAGCACATAACTTATTGGTGCAAAGCACACAAGATGGGAGGTGTAAAGCAATGTATTGTATCCTGACAGAATCTTACCAGGGCCCTCAATATCAGCAAAAATAGTGGCGAAGTCATCGTCATTAACAATAACTTTGATCCCTTCTGGAGGTGAGTCATCAAGGTTCTTCAGTTCTTTAGCCAATTGCCTGATGACAGTTGGTGGGAGGTTCTCGTTGGTCGCCTTCAGTGACATGAATTGACCATTAGAATAATGGAAGACAGCATATAGCTCTTGAACACTCAAATCTGAAAAAAGTTATTCTCACCATGGAAGCCATAACAGCAGACAGCTTTAAGATGCTCGTTTCGCTAGGTGCTGACTTATTTTTGGATGTACCCTTTAATGACAACAAAGCCTCAGGACTGTGCAAAATTTGTGATCACCAAACTGAACCTACAAGAAAAAGTATGTAGGAGATCAGATAGAATGAATAGGTATAGAACAATATAAAATAAAGATATTTCAGAAAATTGAGTGTGAAATTCAATCTGATACCATGAGAGGGGTGGGGGGTGTTCTGCTTTCGTAACGGCATATCTTGGTAAGAAAAAAGAGCACCTTACATGAACTGTACTACTACAATTATTGTTGTGTCGATGTCCATAAACTTACCAAACATAATCTCAAACATTCAGATTGCGAACAACCGCTATAAGTAACGACTTAAGGCCACTACATGATATATGACCAATGCCTGCAAGCGGTGATTTATGCCCCCAAAGTTATTGCAGTACTATTAGTTTATGAAGATGCCATTTATGCAGCCTACTTTATCCTCTCTGACTATCATGCCCGTTTGAACACAGAAAAACTATTCCAGCTCAATAAAAACTCAACCAACAAGCACTAGCACTCGTGGCCTTTTTATTTATTAAAAGAGACAACTGATCACCACGGGGAGTACATGCCTCGAACCCGGGTGGGCTGAGCGAGCACAGAGGCTGTTAGCCAACCGCGCGACAATCAGTTCTTAATGATTCCAACTGCAAATATCACCTTTTATCCATTATTCCTAGCACCGTATATATGCAAGTAAGCGTGCTCGCATGTGTTAGGCGCACGTGTGGACAATATGCCCAGTAATTTAATGCTGCTAAACGACGGTGCCGCACGTGTGAATGAAACATCAACAACTTAATGCTGCTAAACAACGGTGCTGCACGTGTGAACGATACATCGGTAACTTTATGCTGCTATCATAATTGCGTTAATTTCGTACGGAGATATTTACGCGGGTGATTTATTCAAAAAGGAACCATCAACTTCTGCCCGCCCTGTTTTCCCCGCCATCCGTACACGGCGCGCCGCGCCCCCTTCCCCGCTTCCCGCCAATGCGCTATCCTGCACACCACTCCAGACACAAGCACACACCGGGGGCTGTTGCCGTTTGACCTTGCGTTCCTGAATGATCAGAGGACCCAGATGGACCTTGCTAATTCCTAACAAACAACAGAGGCGTTGTGTATTTACTCTGCGCACAAGAACTAGGACGAAAACAGATCGTCCCTCCAAGAATTCACTGAGATGTCTCCGCTAACGAACGAGATCGGATCGGATTAGATACAGGACCAATCGGACGGAGCAGGCAACCAGCGTCTCCTACCCGCCCTACCACCACCAGGACGCGAAGTGAAACACCAGCGCGGAACCGAACGGCACATCCATCCTGCAAGGCAACTCGACTTCTCATCGCTTGCTTACCAGGTACCGGACAAGTCGTCGGAGGAGACCGCCGCTCGCCGGATCCGCCACGGGGAGTCGGGAAGGGGTCGGCCGGCCGGGTGCCGCGGCGGGGAGGGGAGGGGAGAGGGAGAGCGGTTGAGGCGGCGGGCAGCGGGGGAGGGCTTGTGGGGAGGATTGCGGCGAGGACCGGCCGGCGGCGGTGGGGGGCTCGTCGGCGGGGGAAACCCTAGGCTTCCGATTTGGGGGAGGCAGGGGCGGGAGGGGGGGAGAAGGAGGCAAGTTAAAAAGTGACTGGGATTTGAGAGGGACTCGACAGCCGACCGAGATCCGTCGGGGGGATCCGACCGTTGACGTCTCGTGGGCCCCCTCCCGGACTGGCCCAGGATCCCGTGTGTGTCCCGGCCCGTCTCTGCCGACGCAGCGGTGGGCCGTACGAGGGCCACGACCCACGAGCACGAGGGACACCCCTCAAAATATACGAGCACGAGGGACTACCCGTCAAAAAGAAAATCAAAAGATAAAAACGAGCACGAGGGCCTGTTTGAAAAAACGAGCACGAGAGATTTTTTTTCTAAGAAAGAAACAAAACCGAGCACGAGTGACTGGGCGTCGTGTCGCCTCCCAAAGCTTTTTTGGACCGCAATATTTGACGAACACTGGGGGGTTGGCATTTGCGAAGGTTGCAAGTTCTAATATCCGGCTCAGTATCTCAAAGGTGCTCATAGGGACAACATGCGTACGTGCGTGTGTTCATAGAAGTGAGTGTATATGCGTGTACGTGAGTATCTGTAATTGTATTGTGTTAAAAAAAGATCCACACTCATCACTTCACCTGCCAGTTTGCCAAAGCCTTTTGAAAGTTTTCCGACCTCTTATCAAACACCATCTCGAGCAGACTTGCGTTTCCATCGTTATCTTTCAGCATGTGTCAGTCACCTTCGCTGCTGTAGTGAACCACAAAAACATTGTCATTGATGTCTTTTAATCGAGCATCGCAGTGCAGACCCACGCTCTTTGCATAGCCCTTTTGAAAGCATGGATATTCAAGGGCCTTGGCGTGCATACGTAGCCCACGGCCGACCGCTTTGGAGTTTTGGGCAGATCCGGTCCAGAATCAGCGAAGAACAAGCCCTTTGATACCTTCTCAGTCAAA